GGATCCAGATCACTTACTTTTTGCCCTGAATTCTGTCCTTTCCATGCTCGTAAGAGGTATCACAGAAGTTTACTTCTAGGAGAATTTGCCTATTTTAGATTAAGAAATGGGCCTTAATCTGGGGCCCTAAGAGCCCTTAAATGGGGTTCTCAAAGGGCATGGAGCCCCAGGCGTGGGCTTGAGAAGCAGCCTGGAGGCCAGGGTGTAAATCCAGGCCCCTCCACTCACTTCTCTGGGTCTTGGAGTCCCCAGCAGGAATTCGGTGTCTTCTAGGGTCCCTTTCTGTGGCATCTTGGAGTCCAAGGCAACAGGAGGCAGGAGGAGGGTGAGGGGCAGCAGAAGCCACAGAAAGGTGAGGGAGAGTTTAGCACCTGCTAGGGCAGAAGTTGGCAGCTGTTAAGAAGCAAGGGGTGGGGCCAGCCCACTGGTGTAGTAGTTAAGTGCGCATGCTCTGCTCTGGTGGCCCAGGGTTCCCAGGCCCGGATCCTGGTGCGCACCCACGCACCGCTTGTGAAGCCATGCTGTGGTGGCGACCCATGTGGGGTGGAGGAGGATGGACACGGATGTTAGCCCAGGGCCAGTCTTCCTCAGCAAAAAAAAGGAGGAGAATTGGCATGGGATGTTAGCTCAGGGCTGATCTTCCTCACAAAAAAAAAAGGAAAAAGAAACAACGGGGCCAGAGTTCTGACCCTTTCTCTCTGGAATTGGGCCAGGACAGGAGTAGGGGGTGGGGAGTGCAAGTGTCTGCCCACAGGGTGTGGACACTGACAGCAACGCTTCCCTCAGCTAGTTTTTGCAGCTCACGGTGATTCTCGCAGCCAAGAATTGTGCATGGTATCCACATCCTGAAATGTGCTGCCGGAAATTATGGAAATTACGTGGTGTCACCTGGCCAGTCTGTTGATATATGCAGAGTAGGTATTTCTGAGACCCAGACAGTTGTAGGGGAAGGGTGGATTGCAGGAAAGGGGATCTCAGAAAGGTCGGGAGTGTCTCCAGTTCTGCCTGGTTCCTACAATCACAACCAGCTTCTGGTTTATTGAAAGGGCAGAAGACCTGCCCGCCCTGGAGGGGGAGTGTGGGACATCCAGTACAAGGTAATTCATGAAATGACTTCTTCAGGTTTCAGAATTCTCATTTGGGGAAAGGGAGTGGAGTGGACCATGTCAACTCTAAATTTTTTTCTGGCTCTGGCTTTCTATGGTTTCTGTCTGCCCAAGAGCCAGGAATGGAGAGGAGAATAATAGTTTTACCCCTGATTGTGGAAACCCATTGGGATAATCAGAGAGAATATATTGAAGGCATAAGTGATAGAAAGGGCAGAATCAGGGGGAGTGTGGTTAGTTGGGGAAGAGTTTTTGGATTTGGAGAGGGTCAATTTTGCGTAGGATCTGAAAGGATTGGGTGTGGGGTGGTGAGCAGTTGTTCTGGTCTGCCTGTATCTCTCATGCTCGAACCCCATTTCCTGTCACAGCTAAGGCTGAGTGCTTTTGGGCAGTGTCAGCAGTAATAGTGCCCCTTTACTTTCGTCAGCACTCCCCATTGCAAAGCCCTTCCATGCGGATGACCTCACCCGAGCTTCCTGACAAAGGAGCTGGTATTAGGCCCTGGTTACAGTTTGCCTGGTAGGGAAGAGAGCGTAGTGGATTGGGCTGAGGCACTGGCACCAGACACTGCTTCCTAGCCATGTGCCCTTGGGCAAGCTGCTTACCCTCGCCAAGCCTCAGTTTCCTCAGAAGAATACCTGAGCATTAAGTAAGATGTGTAAACAGCAGATAAAGTGGGTCCTAAGTAAACGCTGTTGCCAAGAAGTTGTTGTCACCTGGCTATTGGGTCACAGAGCCCAAACTTGAACCTGGACTGTTCAACCCACAGATTTACACCTCGGGTCTTATGTGTATTCAGCACTGCCACAGTAAGCATCTTTCAATATATGGTATACGTTCAAGATGGAGTCTGTATAACCAAGCGATGGATTGAACATAGACATATGCTGTGTTTTGTTTGTCTCATTACGGCCGACTCGCAAACGCGTGGTTCTTCACAAGGAGCACTGCTCTCAGTTCCTCTGCATCCATTCCTTTGTTCAGCACATAGGTATTGAGCTTCTACAAGGTGTCAAGCACCACCTATTAGTGATTCTTAACATCTTTGGTAGTTACAGACCCTTGTATGGATTCTTTTAAGAATGATAGAAGAACTATAGCCCCTTTCCTTAGAAAATTTTTCCAACTTTTTGTTTTGTTGAACCATTTAAAAGTAAGTTGTAGGGCCGGCCCCGTGGCCTAGCGGTTAAGTGCGCGCGCTCCGCTGCTGGCGGCCCGGGTTCGCATCCCGGGCGCGCACCGACGCACCGCTTCTCCGGCCACGCTGAGGCCACGTCCCACATACAGCAACTAGAAGGATGTGCAGCTATGACATACAACTACCTACTGGGGCTTTAAGGGGAAAAAAATAAATAAATAAAATCTTTAATAAAAGTAAGTTGTAGTCATGCGGGCCTAAATACTGCAGCATGCATTGCCTAACAATATGGATATTCTCATCCATAACCTCAACAAATACCGTTAAAAAATTAATGATAATTTCTTAATATGATCCAATACTCAGTCTTTTGTCAAATTTCCTCTGATTGTCCCCAAGCTATTATTATAGCTTTTTTTAAAAACCAGGATCCAATTTGCATTTGCTTGTTATTTCTCTTTAGTCTTCTTGTTGTTGGGGGATAGCATGTGTTATCTTTGGGGTTGGGAATTTAATTTAAATTAAATTAGTCAAAGCTCCTGGGAATCCCCAGCATGGTGCCCCTTTCCTCCTTGCGAACTCTTTGCAGAATGTTACAGCTGAAATGCTGGATCAGGCTTATTTCCTCAACAGTCAACCAGGGAGTTGGACTGGGCAATTCCTAGGATTTTTACTAGACTTACTAACATTCTAAAACCTTTATTGCCTTCATTTGCTAGTTAAATTCTTTAATCCCTCCATCTGAGCTTCGCCCGTACATGCGTCATCACACTCATTGCATCTCTTCAAGTGACACATCTCTAATTCCGTTGGAGCTTCCAGTTGGGATTTACTGGAAGTATAATAATAATCCCTTACATTTGTACAGTACTTTTACTTTATAAAGCACTTTTTGTATATTATTGCATTAGATCCTCAAGGAGAAGACCTTATATTCCTGTTTTGTTTTTCTCTTTGGGTTTAGAGCCTGGGGGTTTATTTCTAGCTCATTCATGTCACTACAGTGAAAGAACTCGAAGGCCACTGAACTCTGTTGAAATGGACTTGCACCGCAAATAGTCAATAACAGTACTGATTAGCCTGTGGTTCCAGCTGCTTCATTCCGGCCTCGCAGTGACCTGTGTGCCCTGTCTGCTGGCTGTCTTCCAGCGACTGCCACGGTGCCTTCCCTGGATCTGCGGCAGAGCAGATTCCCCAATCCCCGCCCCATGAGGATCTTGACTTTAACTCTGGAGCACATGTGTCACTGTGGCTGGTTCTTCCTCACTTCCTCTCTTGCTGCCACTTTAAATTTCCATCTTGCACTCTGTGCTTTGAACACTCACTGGATTTGGGAACTGAAGGTCCCGGGTTCTCTCCTAGATGTCCCTCTGTGTACCGTACTCATGCGTAGTACTTGCAACTAGTTCTTTCACTCACCTCCCTTAGAAACCCTTGAAGGTAAGTATCACTCTCCCCATTTTATGGATGGATAAACTGAGGCTCGGAGTACTTAAATGAGTTCTCTATTGTCATACAGAGTGAGAGGCAGGAAGCAGCTGTTGGATCAGGTGTGCTGAGGCTCCTAACCCCAGACAGGAAGTAGGTCAGGGCTGCAAGGGTACACAGGACTGAAGTCCTCTCTGCTGGGCGCCGTGCTCTCTCTAAGGGCCAGGCCCTCACCAGCATCGCAGTCACAGCCACCTGAGGATTCCTCCCATCTTGGTTTCCTGCGTGAGCTGAGCTAGGACAGTTCGCCCTTGTTAGCAGCAGAGCATCTAGACCAGCTACACCGGAGGGTCGCAGCTGAGAACGAGTCCCGTGTGTCCAGGCCATGCTCTGCTGGCAGGCTGAGTCCAGGTAGAGACCAGCTTTCTAGGGGAAGTGAACCACGCCAAAATCACAGCACGGCCCAAGGAAACACCTATAAAGAGGGACACCAGAACTCAGATTCTTGGTACCTCGAGTCTTGGCAAAAAACCTCAGTGCTCTTAGTTCTTGAAACCTGAAACCTGGAGGAGCAAACAGTGGAGTCTCTTGACTCTGTCAGGGCCCCCATGAAGAGTTGTGCAGCTTGTGCACTGCACAACTGAGGGAGTGCCGTGTACATAGTAGGCATTGTAGATTTGTATGTTTGTTATGATAGTTTTCCAGCACATAGTTATCAGGTGTCTTGTTCTATCATAATTGGTACATTGGAGCAATTTCCCAACAGAAAGAAGGAAAAAGCCTTGAGGCAGGAGTGCTTTACCCACAGCACCGCGTGGGCTAGTGACAGCCCTGCTCTCCACTCTACCAAGCTGCCCTCTCTGGGCCTCAGTTTCCTCATCTGTAAAATGAGAGGGTTGGACTGATAATCAGTAACGTCCTTTCGCTCTGATTGTGTGAGCCTTGTAGGGGCTGATAAGTGTCTCTTTTTTTTTTTTTTTTTTTGTGAGGAAGATCAGCCCTGAGCTAACGTCTGCCAATCCTCCTCTTTTTTTGCTGAGGAAGACTGGCCCTGGGCTAACATCCATGCCCATCTTCCTCCACTTTATATGGGATGCCGCCACAGCATGGCTCGCCAAGTGGTGCTTCGGTGCGTGCCCGGGATCCAAACCAGCGAACCTTGGGCCTCCGCAGCAGAACACGCGCACTTAACCGCTTGCGCCACCGGCCGGCCCCTAATAAGTGTCTCTTGATTGACTGACTGATTGCTGGAGCTGGCAGCCCTGTGCGGGGCTGCCACCTCTGCCCCTCTGCTGTGCCTGCTCTTGACTCCATGTCTGGTCTCCAAGGAGGAGAAGCCCCTGCCAGTGACCACAGACCCCTCTGAGCTAAGGACACCATGGCCACGTCAGCCCCACTGCGGACCCTGGAAGAGGAGGTGACCTGCTCCATCTGCCTCGATTACCTGCGGGACCCTGTGACCATAGACTGTGGCCACGTCTTCTGCCGTAGCTGTACCACCGACATCCGCCCGGCCTCGGGGGGCCGCCCCGTCTGTCCCCTCTGCAAGAAGCCTTTTAAGAAGGAGAACATCCGACCTGTGTGGCAGCTGGCCAGCCTGGTGGAGAACATCGAGCGGCTGAAGGTGGACAAGGGCAGGCAGCCGGGAGACGTGGCCCGGGAGCAGCAGGACACGAAGCTGTGCGAGCGACACCAGGAGAAGCTGCACTACTACTGCGAGGACGACGGGAAGCTGCTGTGTGTGATGTGCCGGGAGTCTCGGGAGCACAGGCCCCACACGGCCGTCCTCGTGGAGAAGGCCGCCCAGCCCCACAGGGTAAGCCCTCCCCCGAGGGTGCTCTGCCACCCTCCTCGGGATGCTCTGCTCTGCACCTGTCCAGAGGCAAGGCCTGGCTAAGACCCTTCTGAAGGCTTCTTGCTGGCCAAGGGCTCAGTCTGAGTCCACCCTCCTGCCCCAGCCCAGAGCATCCACCTGTCCCCACTGCTTGTCTTTCTACAGGAAAAAATCCTGAACCACCTGAGCACCCTAAGGAGAGACAGAGACAAAATTCAGGGCTTTCAGGCAAAGGGAGAAGCTGATATCCTGGCTGCACTGGTAAGTGAGGCTGTTAAGAGAAAGCCGTGAGGCCCTTGGCTGTGCAGAGCAAGGAGGCCTGAGCTTGTAGAGGCGCAGCTGGGAGGCGTTGCTAGGAGGTAGCCCCCAGGAGAGTGAGCACTGGCCTGGCAGTGGGAGACTGGGTTTTAGCCCAGGCCCTGTCGGTCTGAGCTCTGTGGCCTCCAGCTGTTTCCTCATCTGACAAGAGAATGGGTTTCCTAGATGTCAGCTAAGGTCCCGTCTCCTTTGTGAGTCATCTCAGTCTGGCAGCTGCCGCTGTTCTGCTAGGGACAGCCAGAGTGTAGGGACCTGAGGAAGGCCTGGTGAGAAAGATGTGATTCCTGAGAGTGGAGGGGAGCCAGAGGGTTTGGAAGGACGGCCCTGGCTCCAGGATAGGAGCTGAGAGGGGAAGGCTAAGGAAGGCCTGACCAGCTCTGATGACGCTGTGTCTGGTGAGTCCTGCGCCCGTGGTTGCCAGTTGTTAGAAACAGGCAGCACATTGTGTGCTTGATTAGAGATGGGATCAGGAGGGACAAAACTGATAAGAGGGTTCCAGTTTTCTGGGGGAGTGTCTGTCAGGGAAGTGGGCGTTGGAGGGATGTTGGGGCCAGGCCTGGCAGCGGGTGATTAGGCCCTGGGAGAGGGAGAGGTGAAGCAGGAGACGGCCTAAGTCCAAGGAGTGCCTCAAGGCCATGAGTGAGCGTGGACGCTGGTCAGACCCCAGCCGGGGCTCGGTGGGGAGATTCGGAGGCAGGAAAGGAGATGATCCCTGAGCACAGACGTTCCATAGTTTCACTGAGGGGACAGGATGCAGTCCTACGTGGCAGGGATGGCTGCACACAGATACTTTGTGCATAATAGGAGGGTGCTGAAGAGAGGATTGATCAGGCTTGGCTGAAATTAATTGAGGAAAGCTTCCTGGGAGAGCTGCAGAGATCCGGGTCCGGGAGGGAAATGTGCTGGCTCACAGAGTTCCTCAAAGGGCCCTGGAACATACTGGTTTACCTAGAACAGATAATGGGCTGACCAGTGACACAGAGTCAGGATTCCAGTCCCGTGGTGGTTGAGGGAATTGAACTGATTTACTTACTGCATCTTTGAAGAAAGCAGGTTGGACCAGGAGTCTCTAAAGCTCCTTCCAGCCTGAACACTGTAATTCGTGAATGGGGGTAGCCAGGGGAGAAGAGAGCCAGCCTTGTGCGCCTCTAACACCAGATCCTGGAGGAATTCTCCACCCTGAGGCGGAGGCGTCACCTCCCTCTCCCCCTTCCCACCCCTGCAGAAGAAGCTCCAGGACCAGAGGCAGTACATCGTGGCTGAGTTTGAGCAGGGCCACCAGTTCCTGAGGGAGCGGGAGCAGCACCTGCTGGACCAGCTGGAGAAGCTGGAGCAGGAGCTCACGGAGGGCAGGGAGAAGTACAAGACCAGGGGCGTCGGGGAGCTTGCCCGGCTGGCGCTGGTCATCTCCGAGCTGGAGGACAAGGCACAGCAGCCGGCTGCAGAGCTCATGCAGGTGAGAGACCTTCCCTGGGGCAAGGAGCCGGGAGACCAGGACAGTAGGTCTCCATCCTGCCGCTCACTTGTAGGACCTTGGGAGAGTCACTTCCTCTCGGGGCCACGGTTTTCTCATCTGAAACACGGGGATGATAATCCTTACCCACCCCACTTCTTCCAGCGGTTGCATGAGCATAAAATGAGATGACTGGTGTGGTGTCACTTCAAAAAGTAAATTTTCTACAAAAAAAAATGCTAAAAAAATTTAAGAGTGCTGTAGAAATGGAAGAGAAGTTTATTCATATTTTCGCTACTATCCTCCATCCTCCATCCTCATCACTACCATCACAAGCCTGTCTTCTAACAAGTTACTGGCAGACACTTGTCCAATGGAAGCTTTTTATGGTTCTGGAGATGAAGAAGCCTGTGGTTGTTGGGGCTGGCTGAGGGAGGGCTGAATGGTGACTTCTCTCAAGGACCGAGAGGGTCTGGAGGAGATGGGCAGCTGGGGAAGGGAGACAGAGATGGGCGAGGTTTTCTCTGGGAGTGTGTACCCTCAGAGAAAAAGATGTGGAGCAGGCAGGGTGCCTCTGGAATGCTTCCTGGAGAAGGTGGCTTTGATGCTGAGAAAGGGAGAATCTTGGACTAGAGAGCAGGTCACCAAGTTGAAGTGACACCACAACTTTTTCCTCCTGGAACCTCCCAGAGGAGTCACACCACCCTGAACAGGGCTTAGCAGCCTTTGGAGGGGGCATGCTTGATCTTTCCGCCCTTTCGGGCTGGGAGAAGGCTTATGTGATAGTCTCTACTTGCATGGTTTGGGGTGGCTGGGCCTGTCTGTCAGCAGCAGAACCATCCAGGAAAAGGCAATGGAAAATGCTGTCCTCTAGGAAAATGCTGTCCCGGACCAGTGGCAGGGCAAATCGATAGCCAGGCAAGAGATGGCAAGGCAAGTTGTCCAGGTATGTGTGCCAGCACAGGTCTCATAAAGAGGTGGCCTCTGCCTGCCTCTCCATTGTTGGATTCAGTCTCACGCATCAGGACTGGCAAGGATTTAGAACTCTTCCAGTCCAGCCCCCACTGATGAAGTCACTGAAGGCCAGAGGCTGGAAGGGGTCCGTCCCAGGCCCTGGGTCAGGTCAGGAGTTGAGTCAAAGCTCCAGCCGAGGTGTCCTAACTCCCAGGCCTCTGTGCTCTTGTTCTTTTCTCTCATTTTGTCCAAAATATCCCTCTGGCGCCCTCCTTTCCTCCAGATGTCATTCTGTCCCCTCGAATTTCTCTGTCAGACTCTTTGTGTCACTTGCTGCCCCTCCCGTTCCCCTCTCTTCTCCTTCCCATTCAGGGACGCACATCCTTCCTTCCCCGACAGCCACCACTGTGTGGATGTGCAGTTGCACGTGGAGCAGAGAGGGACACAGCTGAGGGCGCTGGTGGGGGCTGAAATCTAGTTGCATCTGTCCAGGGGGGAGCCTCTCCCCATTCCGCCCAGAGGAGCTGTGGGGACCAGCAGAGGCCCAGCCTTCAGTGCCTCTGAGACCACTCAGACTGAAGACATCCAGGTGGGGTGGGAGGAAGGAAGGGTGGAAAAGTGGGTGTCAGCTTAGAACCAGTACATGAAATGTTGTTGATGGTGGGTTTTGTCTGTGTGTTTGTTTGGATTTGCTTTTACTGTAAGGGAAGTGGACAGCTAACTCCTTATTTGTCATTAATACTTTCCCAGAGATTATTTGACTGTCAAGGAACAGTAAGAATGAGACCCTATGAAATGGGGGCCCTGATCCAAAAGTCTGGTAGAGAAATACAGGTGAGAGGGAGAAGCAATAAGACCAAAGGTGTAAAACAGAAACCTTTGACAAAGGTGATAGAAAAGGAAAGACAGATCACTGGACTGGGAATATCATGAAGACATTAAAGGGGACAAGGGGACAGGAGAGGCCAGAGACACCGGCATCCTCCCCAGTTCAGCCCTGGATGGGCCTTGGAGGGTTGGGTGGCAGGTCGCACCTCTGCCTCATTCACTGTTGGTCGCCGTCCACTCCCGTGAGGAACCTTCTACCATGTTCTCTGTTAATACCCGGCCGTGTCTAATGCCGAGGTTGCCGTGATTCATTGCCTCAGCCTGTCTGCTCTGACGGCCTGTCTTATCGCTGTGCCAGGCGTCTCAGGGGTGAGAGGTCCTGCAGGAGCCCTGGGCGGGCTGCTTCCCTCTGGAGGCCAGAATGTGGCTCCAGATTCCTTGGGAGCTCCCCAGTCTCCCCTTCTGTGTCCTTTGGGAAAGGAGTTCCTCCACTGGTCTCCAGGTTCCACCCTCTCTAGGCTCCTCTGAACCTTTAACCCTTAGACAGCCCTCATTCTCTTCCTTTCTGCTGTTCTAGAACTCCTGTCACAGAGCATACTCTTGGCTCCCTAACCCCCACCCACCCACTGCCCGTTTATTTTCCCTTTTACACCACATTTCTCAGCAGACTTGGCACACACTGCCTCAGATTTATCACCTCGTCCCCTGAAGCTGGCTTGGACTTACTTATTTTAAGGGACAGATTAGAAGAATTTGCCAGAAACTCACAACTGGTCTCTGGGCAACTGCTTCCTAGTGGGGACAGGGTGTAGCTCTGACCTTACCAGGAGCGGAGTCCAAAGGTCTTCCTGAGACTTTCTGAAACAGTCAGCAGCAGCCACAATTTGGTGATTCCATTTGTTTCCCAAATCTTACTTTCAGAGGGGCCTGCCTGCCGCCCACCCCCACCCCGTCCCCCTTCACTCTACTCTTTCCTTTTCCCATAACACTGATCCCTTAATAACATAATATGATGTATTTGTTATGTTGATTATTTGCTGTCTGCTTCCTCTGCTAGGGATTTGTTTCTCTTTTTTACTCTCTCTCCCAGGCTTCTAGAACACTGCCTGACACATATGAAGCACTTAATTAATATTTGTGGAATGAATGGAAAGAAGGCAAAAATTAATATAGAGTATTATGGAGGCTTTAAACTCACAAAAGAGAAATAACTGGCATCTCATAAGAACCCTCTTCCCACTCCACCCTGTCCCATCACACAGATGGCACCACCATCCTCCCTCCTGCTCAAGCCAGGGCCTGTTCTTCATTATCCTTCACCACGATGCCCAGTTGAGTCTGTCTTAAACATACGGGAATGTGCTGCTTCTCTGTCTCTGCACTGCTCTGGTTCAGGCCATCTTTATCTCTTGTCTGGTCCACAGCAACAGCCTCCAGACTGGCCCCCCCATATTCGCTTTGTCTCCCTTAATCCATTCTCTACAGGATAGCCGAGTGATTGATCATTTAGGATTTGGGCTACTGCTGTATCAAACTCAAGTACAGTGACTCAAATAAAACAAGGTTATTCCCTCTTAGTAACAGTTCAGGGGTGAAGGGTGTAGGGCTGTCAGGGCGGCTGTCCGTGAGGTCATCCACAGAGCCGGTTACTTCCATTTGGTTGTTCCACCAACCTCAAGGGATGTTGTCCTCAGCTGTGTAGTCACAGTTGGGCTCGCCACCCCCATATCCAACATAGAGCCAGGGAAAAAGAGGAAGTAGAGAGCAATTTCTTTTTTTTAAAGGATATGACCCCAAAATTGTCATCATTGCTTTTGTTCACATCACATTGGCTGGAGCTTAGTCACATGACCAGACCTGGTTGCAAGGGATTCTGGAAAATGTTTTGCTGGGTAGCCATCTGCCCAGCTGTTACTCCAGGGATTCTGTTATTAAAAGGAAGAAGGGGAGAATGGATTCTGGAGGATACTTAACAGTCTCAGCCACATGTAAAACAGGTCACATTTATCACTCCTCTGCTTGAAACCCTTTGGTGGAACAAAATTTAAGCTCCTTATTATGCCTATGCAGCTCTGCATGGTCTGGCCACTGCCTCCTCTGCCAAGCCCTTTCCCACCTTGCCTTCTTCACCTGTTCAGCACCTTCTTCAAATCTCAGCACAAGCGTCATTGCCTCAGAGAGGTTGGCCCTGTCATGCCCTGCCCCCCGTCCCACCATTTGCTCTGTCGTTGTGATTATTTTGTTTGTTTCCTTGTTTAATCCATTGCTGCCCCTAGAATGCCAGCTCCGTAAAGAAAGGGCCGCATTTATTTGTTCATTGATGCGTCCCCAGCCTTTAATGCAGTGTTGGTATGTTGAATGAAGTCTTCTTTGATTGACATTGATGCTTGTGCTTTCTTCCCTTCCAGGACACCAGAGACTTCTTAAACAGGTAAAGAGCTTCCTTTCCACAGTGCACCTCATTCCCCTGGGCCCGTGTCCCTCTCCTTTTCCTTGACTATGAGCCATTTGAATTAGTGGGGAGTGATATGGTACCAGAGGCGCCCGCATCCCGTGCTCCATCCTGTTGCCCTTCTCTCCTGGGAAGCAAGAACACTTCCTTGAGAGCTGGAGACTTGTTCTCCACTGGAGCAAGTTTTCTGTGTAATCCCAGCTCCTAGGCCCGCTGTCCTTGTCTGAGACAGGACAGGGTGGTGAGGGTAGAAACGTGGCTTAGTAGACAGGAGCACTCTGGATGTTGAGTCCGCTGGTGGTCGTGAGTCCTGGCTCAGCCTTGGGTGGTTCACTTAGTGTGTTTGAGTTCCTGTTTTTCTGTCTGTTAATTGGGGATAATCGTACCTTTCCCTCCCCCTTCATAATTGTCGTGAGATTGAGAGAAATGTGAGAAGAGCTAAGTAACAGGTTATGTCTGTCATCTTCTCAGGTATCCGCGGAAGAAGTTCTGGATTGGGAAACCCATTGCTCGTCTGGTTAAAAAGAGGACAGGAGAATTCTCAGATAAACTTCTGTCTCTGCAGCGAGGCCTGAGGGAATTCCAAGGTAAGGGCTGGGGAGAGCACTGTGGTGGGAGTCAGGAACTGAGGTGCCACTTTGAGATAGGGTACCTGGCTCCTTACCATCGTATTCTCCAACCTCACTCCTCTGAAGGTCTCCTGGTTGTTTTTTCTTCTTGGGATCTTAAGGGTGGAGCCCTGTCACAGAATTAATACTGTCCACATCAGAAACGGGCCCATAAGTTTGCTGGGCTTGAGGGTCATTGCTGTCTTTTTTTTCTCTCCAGGGAAGCTGCTGAGAGACTTGGAATATAAGACGGGTGAGAGTCCGCAGGATTGTTCCAGATTTACCTCAAATAAAGAATATTCTCCCCACAGAGATTCTGACTGCCCCCTGCTGCCCCGGGTAACCCATTCTCTTGTGCAACAGGGAGAACTTCCCAGCTGCAAATGTAAAGCCCCACCTTGCATTTTCTCACCAATCTACTACTCTTTAGTCTGCACTAGAGGCTGCCGCTTGATAGTCTGACCCTCCTCTGTACTGCGTTTGGGTATTCTGTCCTTACATGTCCTACTACCAGGTCTTTCTCTGTAACTGAGTCTCCTCTCGTCTGCCTGACCATGTGGCTCCTGTATTCAGAGCCAACTGTGTGATGGCATCCTAAGACCAGAGGCCATCTCTGCCCCAGGCCCCACTACTGTGCTCCCTCTCGGCCCTGCCGTCAGGTTGTGCACTGCATCCCCTGAAGGCCGCATTCACATGGACCAAGATGTGAATAGTACCTCTTGGATTGTGCAGTGTGCATGGACACCATGGAGACTGGGGGCCCCCTCCCAGGCCACCGGTGATCCTGTTCTGTCTTTTGTCCCCACAGTGAGTGTCACCCTGGACCCACAGTCAGCCAGTGGGTACCTGCAGCTGTCAGAGGACTGGAAGTGCGTGACCTACACCAGCCTGTACCAGGGTGCTTACCTGCACCCCCAGCAGTTTGACTGTGAGCCGGGGGTGCTGGGCAGCAAGGGCTTCACCTGGGGCAAGGTCTACTGGGAGGTGGAGGTGGAGAGGGAGGGCTGGTCCGAGGATGAAGAGGAGGGGGACGAGGAGGAAGAGGGGGAAGAGGAGGAGGAGGAAGAGGAGGCCGTCTATGGGGATGGATACGACGACTGGGAAACGGATGAGGACGAGGAATCGTTGGGGGATGAAGAGGAAGAAGAGGAGGAGGAGGAGGAGGAAGTTCTGGAAAGCTGCATGGTGGGGGTGGCCAGAGACTCTGTGAAGAGGAAGGGAGACCTCTCCCTGCGGCCGGAGGATGGGGTGTGGGCGCTGCGCCTCTCCTCTGCGGGCATCTGGGCCAACACCAACCCCGAGGCTGAACTCTTCCCAGCCCTGCGGCCCCGGAGAGTGGGCATCGCCCTGGATTATGAAGGGGGCACTGTGACTTTCACCAACGCAGAGTCACAGGAACTCATCTACACCTTCACTGCCACCTTCACCCGGCGCCTGGTCCCCTTCCTGTGGCTCAAGTGGCCGGGAACACGCCTCCTGCTGAGACCCTGAGCCCCAGTGCCTGTCCCTGGCCCCACACCCACAGATGCTTCACTTCTCAAATTCCAGGACTCCGTGAGGAGGGGAAGGAGGTGCCTGGCCAGAGCACCTGGAGCAGGAGAGGGGAGGGACCCCATGTCCACTGCCGCTCTCCTCCCTACGGCTGTGGCCCCGTTGAGACCTCGCTAAGTGCTGTTGCTCCATCCACACTGCTGTAGTTCGGCTCCTCTCCCACCTCCTGGAGGTTTCCTTGCAAAATTCTGACCCTGCGGACCGTTAGGGCTCCTCCCTCCCTTCAGCCCACTGCCTTTGACCCAGCTCTACATACTTTTTGTTGAATAAGAGGCAAGGGCAGCATTTTCTTGCCCAGTATGGCACCCCATGCCAGCTGTTCTTGGGAAAGACCAGTTGACCATTACGCTCAAGGCCATTTTGCTGTCCTCAAATCCAGTACTCCTCTGCCCAAATCTACTCCTGCTGCCTGCCTTCCCTGGCACTTTAAACAGACCTACTACCACCCCAACTCAGAGTTAAACATCATGAAAATGCTGGAAATGAACTGAATCAAAATCCACTGAGGCTTCCCGGGCCATTTAAGTGAGCCGCCTGGAGTGGCAGTGGAAATGGTCCTGTGAGGTCCAGAGGAGAATCCGTGCTCCTCAGAGACCAGGGGTAGCATAGGAAGTTCCCATAACTAAGGAGGTGGGACTCCCTGGAGCCATCTGTGGTCTTAGGGGAAAGGTCTAGATACATGTGGCTTTGGGGTAACAGTTTTGATAGGTGATCAATAAATTATCGTTGTGGGTTGGTCTTTGTGAGGAGAGTTTTTAAAAGGATCCAGAATATTCTGCTCTTGATTGGTCCATCTAAAAACACCAAGGCAAATCCAGTCAAGCAAATCCTCCCCTGCCTTGGAAGCTCTGATCACTTTCTCCGGTCGGGTATTAAGCTTCTGTCACTGGCCGTGCTCAACACTGAGGTTGCGTTTTCCTAGGACAGGGGTTGGGGAGGGGAAGACAGCTGTGTGGGGAGAGGAGAGGAAGGCAGCAGGAGTCCACAAGCCCACCAGGTCTTCAGGTCAAGAGAGGGATTAAAGCGTATCCTCGTTGCTTATAGGCCCGACCCAAGTCCCAGCCTCTGTGTCAGCTCCCCTAGTGCCATAGTTTAACATGAGCTCCCTGCTCCGGCCGGATTACCTCGCAGCCTTCGTCTTTACCCATTCTGAGCACTCTGCCAGTCCCCTGCTTATCCAACTCTAACTCCTCCCCCTGCTCCAAGAGACTGTTCCCACCACCGTGGATCTGGGGGTCCCTTAGTCACCACGTTGTCTCAAAGTTGCACTCTCTGCGTATATCACATGCTGCCTGAGTCACATGTACATCTGATTTCTGCCTCTAGTTTTGTAAGCTCCCTGAGGGAGGGTTCCATATCTTACACTTCCCTTGTATTCTCCATGGCACCTAGTGCAGTGCTGGGCGCAGAGTAGGTGCTCAATAAAAACTTGTTGAATGAACAGCTTGGATTTATATATATTTTATTATAACTCAAATATCACCAGATCGTCTCAGTCTGTGTCTACAAAGAAGTTCCATTGACAGCACTAGCCCAGGGTTTTTCTTTTGTGCCCCTTCTGGGTCCTTCAGAACTCTGCAACTTTGCTTTCTCTTCTCTGCGCACATGCTGTCATTTTTGGAAATCCCCAAAGAGCCCCTCACGGACACAGACTGGCCAACACCGAGGCTCCACCTTGTTCTGTCCTCGTTGGTGGCCCTGAGCTGAGATCCAGCATCTCAGCATGTGATGGGGCTCCTGTGAGAAGAGTGACAACCAGCACAGCACACCCACAATCCTGGGAAAATAAGCCATGTCCCCCCAAAAATATAACCTACAGAGATTCAGGCCTGCCTCCTAACACATTCAGGAGGGATGTGTTAGGGGAACCGTCTGACCAGTTCTTGTCTTTTCTTTCTGATTTTTTTTAAATTGCCATCTTAGAGATAGAAAAGGGAGGATTACACAAAGTACCTCTAAGATTATACTAGTGACAAAGGGCATATTTCCTCCTGTGCTGTCATGTGTGGACTCGTTTATGTTTTCCCTTTTTATTGTTTTTTAATTTATCTTTTCTTTATAAGTACATATATGCAAAATGTGTCCATTATTAGAAATAAGACATGCATTATCAATTGTAATAAGGTCAGTTAATCCACATTTGAACCCTGAGAGACAGTAATTACTAGTATGTTCTTGAAAATTTAAATTTATTTTGTTGATTGATGTGAATCATTCCATAAAATCATACTCTACTAATCTTTTGTTTATGGAATAATTTCATAATTTCTCAAAATGACTTTTATCTTTGCTTAGAAAGAATTTTTAAATAACCAGATTTTTGAAACTTTTTAGGGTGATCATTGTATAATTAAAAGCTAATAGCTATTAAATAGGGAACATTTCTTTTGAACAAAATATTAATGCTTTCAGGTCATTGTTGCTTTAATGAGTTTTATGAGTGTCATACTTTCAAAATAAACTCTAGAAGATAAAAAAAACTTTAAGCATAAAAGACCCTTGCAAAATAATAAACAAAAATGTGTGCTTTATGGCACCACCTTAGTACAGAAAGTTGCCAGTAAGATTTATGCAACAAATTCTTTTGAACCTTTTTATTTTATTTTGTTTTTTATTTTTATTTTATTTTGCTGAGGAAAATTCACCCTGAGCTAACATCTGTGCCACTCTTCCTCTATTTTGTATGTGGGTCACCACCACAGCATGGCTGATGAGTGGTGTAGGTCTGTGCCTGGGAACCGAACCAGTGAACATGGGCCACTGAAGCAGAGTGCACTGAACTTAACCATTAGGCCACTGGGCCAGCCCCAGAACCTTTTTATTTTTTATATTCATGTTTTTAAAGTTGTCTTTTATGAACTACATCTGCACGTATGGTCAAATCTATTTACCATCCTTATCACAAAAGAAAAAAAGAAGAGTCCCATTCCTCTCCCCAAGGATCCAATTCATCCTTTTTAGCAGACTATTTTGGTGTTTACCTTAATTTTTTCTAAATAACATGAGTTTGGGGCATTATCCTCTGATTTCCCACTGTGGAGAAGGAGGATTTAGTTCTGCTCTCCCTTTCCCTCACCATGCTTGCACACCCACACTCTTCCCAGCCATCCCCACCCCTTCAATGTGGTCCTAAGATCAGATGAGTACTCAGTACGTTCATCATTATGTCTGTGTAAAAGCTGTTTACACCTGGGGATGTGGCAAACTATGATTGCCTTTCCTTCCTGTACAGCTTTGTCTTCCCTGGAGTTAAGTACCTTTTCCCCCCTTTTGCTTCATTTCCTGCATCGTTATTACTAATTGAACCCCAACTCTTCACCAGTTGTCAGAATCTCTCAAGATATACCATCATCAAATGCTCTTATTTTGTCTTCTTGACATGTCTCTCCTGAAGCTTCCTGACCTTCAGTCTGAATAGTTGCTCCGTCAGCTGTGCAAAGCTCCTGGATCTCCCTTCACCTTCATATTGGGAATCCTGGGTTGGTTCTTCTATTTCTTTATCCTGTTTTCCCCCTTCTTGATTTACTTCATTTTGGTGAAACATCATCCAATAGCTTCCTGAGAAATGGTGCATTTGAATTTTTGAATTTGAAAGTTGAATTTTTGAAATCTTAAATATCTGGAAATGTCTCTCCTACCTTCACAGTTACTCGATAGATTCAGTAAATGTAGGATTCTGTGTTGGAAATAATTTCCCTTCAGAATATCAAAGGCCTTGATTCTTCCATTGCCTTCTGGCTTCCATTGTTGCTGTTGAGAATTCCTGTGGTGCTCTGATTCCTGAACCTTTGTATATGGCCTGTGTTCTCTTTCTGGAAGCTTATAGAGTCTTACCTGTTTCCTTACTCTTAAATTTCTTGATATGCCTTTGTATGAGTCTTTTCTCCCCATTGTGCTAATTAACTGAGTGGGCCCTGTCATTCTAGAAGTTCAAAACCTTTCAGTTCTTGGAAACTTGAATTATTTCTTGATGATTTTTCTCTTCTTCATTTTCTCTATTCTCTCAAATGTGTTATCTCCGCCTTCATATGTCTCCTGAATTGATTTGTTGAGTACCTGTGATGTGCCAGCATGTTTCTAGTTTACAATAGTGATAAGGTGAACAAGGTGAGTTTATATTCCAGTGAAGGGTGATAGGCAATGAATGAAAATAAAAAATAAAATAGTAATTAGCACTATGCAAAGAACTAAAATAGGACTGCAATGGATAGTGACCTGGTGTCTACTTTATAATGGATGATTAGAAGGAGTTTCTTGGAGAAAGTGGCATTAAAGCTGAAATCTGAATGATGAGAAGGAAGGTCTAAGATCACACCAGGCAGAGGGAATGGCAATGTCATCAGGCAGGGACAATCTGGGAACAGAAAGAGTGTGTCTAAGCAGGGAGAGTGGTAGAGAGGTAAGCAGAGACAAATCATGTGGGCCTTGTGGACCATGCTAGAGTTTGGATTTTCTAAGTGCCTTGGGAAGCTAATGAAGCATTATAAGCAGGGGAATTCAATAAGCAAATATTGAGAACCTATTATTTGCCAGGCACTGTTCGTGGCACTTGGATGCATCAGTTTTTTAAAAAATCCCTTTCGTCAGGGAACTTACATTCTAGAAGGGAGAAGAAGACAATAAAAATAATCATAGCAAATACAAAATACGTAGTATATTAGAAGGTCAAATACAGTATGATCTCACTCATTAAATAGTAGATAATAACACCAACAAACAAACACATAGAGATTGGATTGGTGGTTATCAGAGGGGAAGGGGGGGAGGAGGAGGGCGAAAGGGATAATTAGGCACATGTGTGTGGTGATGGATTATAATTAGTATTTGGGTGGTGAACATGAGAATGTGATGTAATCTATGCAGAAATAGAAGTATAATGATGTACACCTGAAATTTATACAATGTTATAAACCAATGTTACTGCAATAAACAAAAGAAAAGAAAGAAGTGCAATGGACAAATAAAAAGTATGATTACTTTTTTTAAAAGATCTCTTGTTTGGAGAAATGATTGCAGGCGATGAAAGGAAGCAGGGAGTCTAGAGAGAAGACTTTTGTGGTAAATCAGATGAGAGGTGACAGTGATTTGGACTAGGGTGATAGTAGGAGAGATGGAGAGAAATGAACACATCTGGAATGAGTTTTGAGAGTAGACTCAACAGGACTTGCTAATTAGACTGAATGGATTGGAGGTGATCAGAAGGGAAATCAGTGACAACTCCTGGATTTTGGGTTCAACCAAGGAGATGAAGATGAAAGTTAAGTATGATTGGGGAGTAGGTTTGGAAGCAGAAGTGGAAGAAGTCAAGACTTCTGTTTTGCTCGTGTTAAGTTGAAGATGTCTATGGACATCTAAATGGAGAAGTCAAGCGGGTAATGGGCTCTAAGAGTCAGGCTGGAGCTACAGATTTGGGAGTCAAAAATATACAGGTGCCATTTAAAGCCATGGGGTGAGTGTAAAGATAAAAAACTAGAGTGGGGCCCATATTGATCA